AGAGATATCCCCAGCCTGTCCCGTTTCCGGTCAATTTTTTGTTGATCCACAACAAGGGCTCCATTGTAATCTTACCGTCCAGCTTGAGATCGCGATGGAACTTTTGCAGAATAATCGGAAAGAATCCAGGAATCTCGAAAGTAATGGTGTAGGCCTTCACCGGTAAGGACAACATAAATTCTCCGAAAGCATTCGTTGTTGCAGTTTGACTGTCAAACAGCAGATCGTTTACATCTCTCAGAGTAGCATACACCGTTGCGTTATTGATTGACTCAGAAGTCTGAGCATTCCTGGATAGCCAGGTGGCTGTTGTTCTTCGGTCTGCAAGCAATCAGTTGGATTTTGCTAAAAACCAAACCGGAAAACTCATCGCAATAACTTGTAGTTAATTTGCTTCCAAATCCCAGTTACTCTGCTGGATCAGTGTTGACAAACTGTGACCGCCAGATGAACCTGCATCACTGTCAGGTCCGGCCGCTGCCCGCCCCCAACCGGGCATCGTGCACGTTACAAAGAACACGGACCACCATGTGCGAATTTGCCGTACACAAAACTCTGCGGCGCCAGTTCATCTAGCAGGCACAGTACGCTGCCCCATACTTACAACCACACGAAAATGAACCGGTCTTATCTGCCTCGCATGACGGCATCTGCGACACTTTCGCCACCAGCTGGTGCAACGTATCAAGTAGTTCGCATTCGGGGTTAGTACGCTGGCCAGATCAGTGGCGGCAGCAGTGCGAGAGTGACGGCTTTTTCTGTCCGCCGGCAGGTGTGGAATTTCGTAGCAAGGGCACGATAATCATTGCCATACCAATGCTGGCCACCCTGTGTTCCAGTTTCATAGAGCTCTGTCTAATAGCATTTCCGCACGACGTCCTCCAGTGACGTCACTGCAAGCCGTATGGATGCTGTGTCGGTGGGGACTTCACTGATCCCTCATTTTGTCCCAGTGGCGAGCGCAGCAATCTGCCTACTAACCAGGGCACAATTTCCGGGTCCAAATTCAGAAAACTCTCATCTTTTCCAGAAAATTATGCTACCCTGGCATAATTAAAAAAAATAATTTCATCTGCTGAGGTCCAAAGGGCGTGGCCAAACAAGTTACGTAAATAGAGTACTCAGTACACCACATAATACTAAATACAGTTAGCATTCTCTGGTGCAGCATTTGTGCCAGCTGTTCTCTTAATGATAATAAAATAATCAGAAAATTCTAATCTTGTGTACGTAGAATAGTAGCACACCGTTATAATATGCTTTAAATAAATTTATGTGGGAAGGCTAGGTCGACGCACGTCAAAACCTATTGGAAATTGCTGCTCAGTGAGGTACGAGTACTGCAACAAAAGATTACATCTTACAGGGGTAGTAGTACGTAGTTCGTGTTACCGGTACTGGTAGTGGTACTATGCAGTTTGCACTGTTACTGGTAGTGGCACTGGTTGTGTTAGCGGTGCCATGCAATGGTACTGGTAATTGTACTGGTAGCCATTACGATACGGTACGTATGCCGGTAGTAGCCGTATGCTGGTAGTGGCATCAGCAGTCAGCACTCGCAACGATGTTTAAAGTGCCGATGTTAAAAGTATTGTTGTTACGAAGCGCGTGTCACTTGTTATCTATTGTACGTAAAAGTCACTGCTGTGTTCAAATTGTTTTATGTTGCTCTCACTTCGGTAAATCGATTACAGTTGTCACTAACTACCTAACGCACTTTTTGAACTGTACTAGGAAATGGAAAAAGTCTTTTTTAACTTCTCTATTCAGAGCCAGTATTGTGGTACTGATACTGTACTATGCAAATCATTTTTATGTGTTTATTTAAATTAAATAATAACGTGACTCTGCGTCGAAAAACTTATACTGTGTTTCAGCAGTATCGGAACAAAGCAATAGTCAAAACGCTTTGACCATTGACGGTTTTATCCATTAAGACGTCATGCTATGCCGATAATACTACCGGCATACGTATCGTAATTGCTACCACTACCAGTACTAGTACCATAACATGGTATCACTAACACAACCCGTAACAATATTGTACCAGTACCAGTAACATGAACTAGTACTACATGTAACCCCTATCACGGAGTAAATACTGCCAGAGTGCCAATGCCACTGTATGCATTTTGCAGATCCCTTTGTATCACCTTCTTCCCTCAAACTCGTGAAATACGAAATGAAGTACGAGGCAAGTGTCCCTTAAATTATGTAATAGACGCGTTATTCACATTATCATAGGTTAAAAGCAAAATTACGCAGTTCATCATTTCAACACATAATACACTTCGTCAAGTCTCTTACCGATACAAAACGTTTCCTGAACACAAGCAGCGTTGCCTTGCATTAAAGCAATACTAATTCTCTGCTTAAGAAACTGAGTGGACCGTTTCTCCTGTGTCTTCACAAAAAGCATCTTACCGAGTGTAGACATCTTACATTTCGATTCTTTACCCCACACACCCATTGTTTCAAAAACCAAAGCAGAGAAATTAAAATTATCGCGTAAATATCCGTGCTTATGGTTTTTCTTCGCCTCCGCCATGGTGGCGGCAGCGCCGGCTTCCTGGGATGTTTTGGCGATGTAGCTGGTAGCCATGGTATCCGTGCAGGTGACATCCCACACCCAGGATTTTCCTTGGCTGAAGGGAACTGAGGTCATGCCATCCGGCCTTTTCTGGGTATCGCGGTAAAGGCCTGGTGGCTCGAGAACGGAAGGGATACTGGCTGACCCACAGGCGCGATGAATCACATCTCTGATTTCGTTATGACGGGAAATTTTCGCTTTCAGACGCTTGCATCCTAATCCGTGATATCCCCATTTGTCAACATTGCTGCCGCATTTGCACCGGTGTTCGATGCATACTGGGGCACCGATGCGCTGCGCAATGGATATCCTAACTTCCGTATTTGACAACATAGTGCCGAGGCTTGCCACTGGGACTGCATTAAGCCACAACCCAGACTCAGGCTGGGACACAGCTAGCAGCCGGGCTTTCTGGTTAACAGAATCGGTTTGGCGAAAAACTGCTTCTTTCTGGTGAAGAACCACCGGGATGTCCCAAGCACGCTGCGAAGCACGCCAATCTTCATCAGGGAGTTCCGCGGGCCCCATTGATTTCCAAGCTTGTTCCGCACATGTTGTATATGCTTCGGTGTACAGGTCAGTCATGTGTGGCACCAGCGAGCGCACCGAATTGACCGAGGCAAGGAATGCCGGAGCTGCTAGACGTTCGGTGCGCCTGATGCCCAAACCGCCCACCCGGACCGGTAAGGACGCTTGTTCCCAGATTTCGTCAGTAATGCTCACGTTGGTAATTTTTTCCAGACGGTTGCGTACAGCAGAATCGAACTTCGTAAGGATTTCCGGAAAACTGAAGGCGTCACTAGCTCGTAGAAGGTGCATCAGTTTAGGAACGGACAGGCAGTTCTTCAGGAGAAAGAGTGCCTGATGGGATGGCAAAAGGGGCAAACGAGATATCATCTTGTTTACCATACCGACTTTCTCTTCCAACAGTGGGCCGACCGATTCACGTGTGATCCCTGCACCAAGGAGGATGACGGCTTGCTCGGTGAGACGCTTCATGCTTGGGTAACGCTGGACGAAAGCTGCTTCGGTCTGCGCGCGCTGTTTCGGGCTTCCTCCACAGATGTAAAACTCACATTTTTCTTCGTTGAGTTGCAGTCCCACTTCAGCTGACATTGCCCGAACCGTGTCGACGTCTTCGCACACTACATCGAACTCTCCTCCGAAAGTAACATCATCAAGAAATGAAACTTTTAATGTGGATTTCAGAGCTTTTGATATGGGCAGCGTAACGAGGCTGTAGAGCAGGGGTGCTGACGGGTCGCCCTGATGAAGTCCTTCTTCGGATTGGATAATATGCTCCCCGAAAGCCAAAGAAGTTGGCTTACCGTAGCCCTGATTAAAAAACTGGAAATATTCTGGCATTTCGGTTTTAACCATCTCTAGGATTTTATGCCGATAAGCACAATTAAAGGCGTTCGCGAAATCCAACTTAACAAGTACACGGCATTCACCGTTCTGACTAATAAACATGCGCGTAGCGTGTACGGCAGCCTCGGCTCCCTCTTTCACACCGAATCCAACTTGAAATGGAAACAGCTTTTCTACCATACGCTCTTTCACTCTGCGACAAATGATTTTTGATGCGATGCGGCGGATCGTATTACCGACAGCAATGGGGCGAATTCCGCCGTTCGGTTTTTGAAGTCCAGTAAGCGTAGCGCCATACAGGGAGGGAAGGATTTCCTCAGGTACATCCCCCGAGATCATCTTCGTCACGGCACCTGCAAGTGCTGAGCAAAGTCTTTTTTCGTGCTCGTTCGTTCCGTGTCCTATCAGTAGTGATGTGCTACTACAGCTTCCTGCTACTTTACTTAATATTTACTAATCTTCCAAAAATTTTACTTATTATTACTTACTATTAACTTCGAAATTTTTCAAATACTTACTATTCCCATTTTCCCAACCAATTACTTACTAATTATACTAAATAAATTATTTAATTTTTAATTCAATGTTATTTTCATATTTGGGACGCTTATGCATTTCATGAAGAAATAAAAAATAATAGACTTTACTCTATGCAAATCTAAGGTGTTAAAGCAAAATCTAGCATCTCAGCTGGACTGCACATTTGGCTTGCCAGGCTGCTGCTACATTGCAGTGTTTCACATCCGTATACTTAATTTTACGAGTACGTAACGTAACCGCAGTTTCGGGTTGGCGGTACGTTGCGTTTACGTGAACAGCAATACCACCGTCTGTTAAGGCACTCACTTTAGTATGCAACATGGTTAACGATAAACCTGCCCCAGTACAGCAATGAGTCTAATCGCTAAAATTCGATTAGCAAATGATTATTAGTATATAACTTTTATTTAGCGAAAGCCAAAATCTTACTATTTACTTACTATTTACTATTGTAGCTGAATATTTATTACTTTTACTAATTTTGTATGGAAAACTTTACTGTTTACTACACATTTAATTTTAGGGAAGCTTTTACTAATTAAATAGCATTTATTTAGTTTTATTTAGTAGCACATCACTGCCTATCAGGTCTTTTACGTGTTGAGGGCGCATACCAAACAGACCTCCTGAGGATCCGTGTGGGAAAGACCGGACGGCGTCGAGTATTTCATCAGCGGTAACGTCAGAGATCAAGAATTGTGCTTGGGGCTTGTCAACCGGTGTCGCATGGGCACACGCCCGAGGATGCTTCTCCTGCAACAACAGCGCCGATTCTGGGGTTGGGCGAATAACATTATCCGTCGAGCATAAGGCTTTAACTGCGGCTGAGATAGCACAGTCCTGGAACTTGCTATTTACTCTTCGTGCAATGGCTTCGTTAGGGTTGGATGCAGCCTGGAGGGGACGGTTGTGGAGAACGGGAGCCGCGCCACCGCCAGTGAGATTTAGACGTAGGGCAGCGGTAACAGATAACTCCGTTTTCTCTGCTGGTAGGCGAAATATTTCAAACGCAAAGGTGCTTAGCTTCGTCCATGCCACAGGTGTGTTGTCTGTACAGCATTCGCTAAGCACCGTGCACAAATCATTAGCAATGGAGGTTCGTAACGCTCGGGGAACCCGGGGAGCCAACGGAGTAGCAGCACGGAGCTTTGCCAGTGTTTGAGCCTGGTTTTCGCACAACACAGTGGCGGGGATCGCAGATTTTGTTGTAGGGAGGATGTTTCGTTCTTTACTTGCTTGGGTTTTCAGACAAGTCGATTTGTTGCGATGTAGATCCAGACGGGTGAAGAGCTCTCCGCAGTCTGGGCAGGCAACTGGCTGTTTCACTGACTGGGATCGTGTAGAAGCCAGGGTTGCGCTCGAAGAGGGAGAAACGATGTTAGTCTCCATAAATCAGCAGAGGAAATATCAGCAGAGAAATGAAGTATTTTAAGCGTTTAACGGACGTAAATTTGGCAAAAGCTGAGATTTCTCTGAAGTATTATTACCACGTAAACTGCATTGTAACAGTATGTAGTAATATGTAATTTGTTTGGCCACGCCCTTTGAGCCACAGCAGATGAAAATATTTTTTTATTATTCCAGATTGGTATATTACTTTTCTGCAAAAGACGAGATTTTTCCGAATGTGGACCCGGAAATTGTGCCCTTGTAAGTTGTGTCGAATTAGACCAGGGACTCGGGGTGTGCGTTTTCACTTGTGTGCCTACAAGTTTAGGTAACATGCAAGCCATACAAGTGCTGCCACTTTTAGATGGGCCAAATTGGCAGATTTGCTGGGTATGGGTGCACGCGACCGCTTAGTCTTAAAATGTAGTACCATGATATGTGAACCAAATTTTTAACGAATATAAAATGTTACGATAGTATGAATAATATGCCCTAGAGCAGATCCTTGTTTACAGTGAAAGTGCTTACATCATGCATTTCCCCAAACCGCCTTAAGCGTCAGAAGTGTAGAACGCTAGAAGCGTAATCACATGCATGCATTGTCGTCTCCTGTACACCGTTTGCTATATAAGAGTTTCTCTTTCACTGGTGCAAAACCATTCTACCGCTGAGCAATACATGGAATAAAGGCTTACGCAAACCACCGTGTATCAAAAACTTAGAAATTTTGATTTAATAGCGTTCAGCGTTCATTTTGCCAATACATATCTGTCCTGAAAGTTACACCAGTGGCTCACCTTCGTTACGAGTGTCAAGAGGAACAACTGCAGCAGCCTTCTGGATGCAGTTGTAAGCTGCCTTCACCCTGGCCACATCTGACTGGCTGAGGCCGTACATCCAACGCGGCGGTGTGCTCGCTTTGGAAGCAATAGCCGGTTTGTCGGGGCTTTTGGATAACTCGGGACCGTAATGCAGCAGCGACTCAACGTCGTATGGAAGGCCGAAGGTGGCCATCTGAGGCATTTTCCGGAAGTTTCCTTCGTGGATGTCGGTCACCATGTTGCTGGGCACTATGTTGATGTAGTCGTCCCGATCCGGGCAACTGTGTTCGTGGAGGAATCCCAGCGCGTGCATCAACTCGTGCTGGATTGTGCCCGGTGACAAACAGCGAGAATGCAGTTTGATTTTGGTGGGATGACCCATAATGCGCCCAGTGTCCGCTTTGCATCTGTTAAACAATGCTTGCTCGAGAAAGTTCAAAAAAGGTACAATGCAATTGCGACGATGGTTACACTGGCGTGAATCCCGTGTGATGCTGGATCAGAATGTATTCTTGCTGGGTTGGAGTGCGCTTTTTGAATGATACGCAGCCGCTGACTCGCCATTCCAGAGTTCTGATCGCACTTTCAATAAGAGCTATTTGTTCGGCGCCTAAAAGTTATAAGAAAATAACATCTCTACTTTAACCATATTACGGAAATAAAGAATTCAAGATTTCGAAACTGATAGTCATCGCCGTCGCTCTTTGCTTACGGTAGAACCACGATGTAATGGAGTACTTTGCGCATGTTGGATAACATGTGGTAAAAAGGTTATATTGCCCCGAACGGAGTCCTAATGAAAAGTTTAGAACTATTATGCAGAATAATAAGCTCGAGAACTTTTGGCTGCTAAATTTTGGAAAGGCATTCTAAGTTTTTTCGAGCAGCTAACGCAGAATACGAAGGAAATTTGTTCGGCGATTTGCAGTCCAGAATATAAGAAACGCGGCGGCGAAGGTGTTTCTTGTATACACGGTAACAATGTTGCTTTTATTTTAGGTTATGTTTACAAGTTCCGCGCTTACTGAACCCTGCCAGTTCGTAAGGAATTTGTTGTCCGTTGTTGGGCCAGTAGCCGCTCGGTGCAAGATAGCCCGTTGCCGGAATGAAACTATCGAACCCGGTGCCGTCGTCGTCATCGTCCCACATGGTATCGTTTAGCAGCAGAAGTTTGTCATCTGCATCAAAAATTCACCGAAAAACTTCGAAGCGCGAACTAAATGTCGCACGAGGAATCAAAAATGCTTTACCAGACGGAGACGATAATGTTCCGGCAATCCTCAACAGCGCCGAAATAAGCAGAACAAGTGGAGAATGCATTCCTCTACCTTGAAGTACTTAAAACAGTCGTTGCGTACACTGCTGCGCAAACAGGCTTGTACACCTGTCTTCTGTCTCAGCGTAAACAGAAAGAGAAAAATCCGGCGGAAGCTTGGTAAAGCGTTCACAAGAGCAGTTTCCAAATTTACGCTATTTTTAGTTCGCGGTAGTACTGATTCAGAAATGAAGCGTCATAATACTTTCTCACGACAGTTAACAGTGTCGGCCGCACCAAAATGAAATGCCGGTACAGCAGCGATATAATCGAGAGCAGCTAACAAGCAGCGGCGATCGTGTCAGATAAAAGCGGAAATCACGCTCAACGTTGTGCCTAATATTCGTGAGGTTTCGACCTTTGCCTTCGTTTGCAGCTTTTATAATGCTTTTATTTTGCTGAAATACAAAATCAGTATGTGCAACAAAAACACGAAATCTACCTTTTTGCACAACAGGAACGTACTGTATCTGCAGAGGAAAACTGGAATGCGATGATTGCACTCGAATTATTTGATGGCTTAACTATATCAGTAGTACTCAATATGATCTTAGCATTGTCAGCACTCAGGTTGCACTATTGCGTACAAGATTTTTTTTACTGCGCGCGGCGTCCCATAGTTTTGAGATCTCTATAACCAAAACGTCTTCCTAAAAACTGGCAAACGCCAATAGATTGTCCTCGATTAAGGACCGGGTCACATGATTTTCGTTTCATTTGTTTAAATTCATTTGACCAGAATCGTGCCGCCACGATGCCGCAAACGATCCTACCCACTTTCAGGATGACCTTAAAAAAATTTGCGTGGATACAATAATTAAACCGAAAAATAAACAAAATGTACTTATTTTCGTGCAACACCAAACACAAAAATTTAGCTTTGTGACTTTCGTAGTACGTTAGGTCACGGTTCTAACAATGCTTGCAATTTACAGATTTCAAGTACTGCAAGTTTATCGGGCTGTTAGATTTTGCTAAAAACACCCTTCAAACACTTGCTACAGCGGCATTTGTAAATGTGTGGTTTCTTACTAGCTCGTCCTCCACAGGAGTCAGTCTGGTCAACGTAACGGCCAGTGTGATGCGCCACTGTTAAGCGCACAACACACAACACCCAGGCCAATTTTGTGATATGCATGCGTTTACGCGAGAGGGGAAAGCGCAACTCCCACAAAGGCTTGCCGGCAATCAGGGAGTGAATCTGCATTGTGCAGCTGGTCCAGAGATAATGCTTCGTTCAACGTTCATCATTCAAGGTCAAAGTTAGGGCACTAAGCGGTTACAGTCAGGTTAGTAGTACGAGAGCCATAGATTAATTAGGCTTTTTACTAGCGCGAAAAGCGGAAAATCAAAATCGTAACTATTGTCAAATAAATATTCAACGTTGTTGAAGTTATGGACTAACGATGATGCACAGACAGTCAGTCTGGCACCGATGAGAATTATATGTACACATAAATAGGTACCTCGCATATAACAGTTCTAAGGAGCAAGGTTGTTACAAAGTAGCGGGTGGATGGATGACACTGTTGTACCAGAAATCTAGTACATAACGGTAAATATTGTCTAACCAGACATGATCTACGACCCAAGAAGGAGTGGCCAAGTTAAAATGAGTGCCGTGACGCAAGCAGGCGCAATTGCAGGAGTTTGGATTTTTTTGGCGTTATCCGCTCGCTTTACACTTTTTAAACGCAAAGCGTAGTCAGGTTTTTTGCTTTGCCGCTTTTTGCGCTTGTCTTCCACTGCACTGGTGTTACCGAATAAGCAAGAGGGAAGAAAAAATGTGTGATGACGCAGTAAAACCACTTTTTGTGTCAGTTTAAGAATGCAACGGTTTATTTTCAGAACGGATCAACGATTGCTAAACTCCTGACAACAGCCTCCTAGAAGGCCTTACTAGTTTTAACTTTTTGTTGCGCCGACAATACAACATAATTTTTTACCGTGCATAAATACACTGGTAAATATTACAACGGTGCTGTTACAGCACCTCAAACCTAATTGCATGCACATGGTTTTGAGGGAGGTTCTGGTTGACCTTCATAGACTGGGAAAGGATACAAGGACACCGACTTAGACATGATTATTGTTATTAGTGTTATTCGAGAAACTCAGGATCTGTGTATGGACAGATCGCCGACCCAACTTATCGGATCATCACGTAAAATACTAAAGATGGAAAGATAGTAAGAACCAAAACCATTGGTTTATTTTAATTACTGCTGGAGGTTGACTATTCCAGAACGGTCAGATCTTCAAGAAGGAGTGGTCTGGCGACAATAAAATCTCCATAGTCGGGCAAGTGCGACGACAATGGCGCGCCGCCGTGATGACGCACTACCTTTTAGCGAGTTCGGCTACTGCGCCGAAGTTCACGGAAGTTCGGTCGATATATGAGGCAGCCAGCGTGTCCACGCCGGTGATATCCACGGCCAGCGGTTTTCCGCGCTTCCACAGTACTACGGGGATCACGTCCGGATTTTATTGTCTTTCACTTTCACGGAAAGACCTTTTGGCTCGATTTTTGCTGGAAAAAAGGCCGTTTTTAGTTCACGAGTAATCTCCCCGCTTAGTCCGTCGTATCGTGGCAGTCTACTTGTTGACCGTTTACATCGGAGCTCATGCCGGCCCAAATCGTCCACAATACCGCGACGTACACACACGTGAGGAGCAGCGATTGGTGCTCCCAGGCGCAAATCGGAATTTCCAAGAATTTACGAGGAATTTCAGGAATTTTCTAATTTCAGGAATTTACGAGAATTTGCAATCGGCCGTCAGTGGAGCACCACTGATATGCACACCACGTTCGAATTCATATCAGCGGTTCTCCCATGTTGGCTGAGAATGGTCCGTTGTTGTAAGGGGGGCCCATGGCGCACGTCGGCGGATCAAGCCGAAAAGAAATACGAGATTAACGGAATCCAACGCTTACCTAATTAAGCCGACAAAGCTGCAGTCGTACGAGTAGACCATGTAAGCACATATAGCGGCGCAGAATTTTTAATGCTTCCTTGTAGATGCAACTTAGGAAAACCACATTAGTGCTGATGATAATGTAATGAAAGCTAATATGTTTAGCTTCCTGTTATTTATACTTCTATAGCCTTCTATATCATGTTTTAGCACTGCAAACTCAACCCGCGCATTATTGTGCCTGCCGGTTGTAATGATAACGTTGCATTATTTTAATTTAAAGAGCTCATTATTCTAATAGTGATAAAGTGATGAACCGTTTAGATGGTATCGTACGTAGCTGTCGATAACAGAAGTAAACCACGATGGATTTTACAGCGGAAAGTTAACAACCAATGTTTGGCCACTAAATTTTTTGACTGTCTGTTGCGAGCGGTATCTGCACGGACCTCGTTGTAATATTTCGACTTGCTGACAATTGTATACTGCACCATTCAGCCGGTTACAGTTCCTCATGCCTTACTCTTTTTGGCGCTGTTTTCTATCGTTATACGTGAGCCTTTAAAACTGATACACTGCACAAATGTTTGTCGGCTTTGGCTTTAGGCAACTGCAACAATTGACAATTTGTAATAGATCTGTATGGCGTAAGCAAACTGGATGTCAAGTAGGAAACATTACGCAGAATAACATTTACAAAATATTTTTCGAAAAGTGCTGTGCGCCCGGAATTTTTTCGGACGAATAGAAACCGGCCAGTATTTTAATATGCTTACCGCAAAATAAAATCAAAAGTCCCAGCTTTTGCCAACACCAGTATTAGCAAAGCAAATAAGTAAACTCGAATAAAGCAAATACTAAAAAAAAATAACATAAATGATTGTAAGAAAAATTATTTTCATAAGAATTGATTATGCCAGCAGCGGAATTATAAAACAAGCTGTGTCGAAGCCAGCTCTGCAATGTCTAAACGCCAGTATACAATCCCATCCAGAGAGATCAACAGCCGTACTGCATATATAGCAGGTACACCAGGCTTTTGTGATATTTTACTGGCAGATACAAGATTAAAATGCCGCCACGGCTGTTTTACAGTATACAGTATTGTACAAGTACAGTGGTTCCGTTGCGTGCTCACTGTAAGTTTCTACTTTCCGTTACTGTACCGTACCATGCGAAAGCGGTTTAACCCAACCAGATCGACCATGGCTGTGCAGGCCGCATGGCTGTAAGCTTCCTGTCTCCTGACGATCGATCGGTCGTTGCGCCGCTCTCCTCTGTAGACTGTAGCGCTGGGCTGGCGCAGGCAGTGTACAACGTTGACTTAAAGAAAGAGCAGTAATATACATGTAGGACACCGTACAAGGCTCCAGGTACATCAATAAAATCATATACATATGCAGCACTGCTATACCTGCAAACATTTCACTGCATTGCTTCATGGCATTTTAAACACAAGTATTCTCTGTGCACTGCTGTGAAAACAACAACGTCCCCTGGAGTACCGATCACAGCATATTCGCTGCGGAGGAAAGGCCATTGCGCTCAATCGCCCGACATACTGATGATTCCAGATAATAGCAAACTGTGATGAAATTTGCCTACCGAATCAACCAAGGAACGAAATACTATTATCTGGCATGAAATAATGCTACATAATATCCATCGCGACTTAGCGGCGAGAAAAGTGTAAACTTTTCGTGCTGCTAAGTCACGATAGATACTGTACTTACCACTTTTCTACTGGCTCTGTGCAAAAGGGAAGATTGCATATTTCGGGATGGCGAAAGATAAGTCGGAATACATAATGGAATAATTTCCATATTATCCCAAACGCAGAAGGCTTTTTTGCCACTCAGCTTTCCAAGAAGCCGTTAACGTACTACCGATCCTGCACACAGCCGCAACTTTCCCTCAAATAACTAGCCGGCGCGTTGGATCAGAATCCTTCGCCAGTAAGCCCGATGGCTCCGGAATCCTTCATCCCTGAGCGCAGTATACACACTCTCTCTCTCTCTCTCTAAACATCGCTATGCTTGTAGAACATATACTTTGTTCACAGATGCGGGATTCAGTGTGGCGCTGTGGGAAACTCAGGCACTCAGGACTCAATCCGAACGCCACCGAGTTTCCCCTAGGGAAGGTCTTTCTTAAGAAGCTAAGAGCAACAGCGTCACTTCTTGAAAGAAGGCTGCTGTCTGGAAACACGAAAGACGTGCTCGGAAAATGTATGAGGGCGTCGACATTACGCGATGTAATGTTGGTGAAATTATTAATACGGTGTCACTCTATAGGGCTTCGTTGACGATTGGCGGGTGGACATTTGAGCCAGTGATGAAATGCCCGCTGCAGCTCGCAACCACCGGGTTGCTGCAGCGCAGATAATGTATTTAATCAAGACCAGGTAACACGGGGAAACGAGATAACGTTTTTCGATGTAGGATAAAATCATTTTAAGTAGATAAATATAAAATTTTTAATGGATCACAAAAGGAAATTAAACTCCTCTATATTATCTGACTTTTAAATGAGTTTCGTATAAAGCAAAAGAATTTTATTGTAAGAATTTAAATAAACATACATAAATTCATAAAATGTAGTTAACTAAAATCAGTTTTGCCCTTTCAACTAATCGAATACGAAACAGGAAATTCAACTCTTCTAAGTCAAATTACGTACTTTTAGTTTCGTATAAAATAAAAGGATGTTAATGCTTCAAATTCAGATTCAAATAAATATATATAAATTCATAACATACGGCTAGCTAGAAGCAATTTTTGCTAACTTTCAGCTAATCGAATAGGAGACAGGAAAATCAACTCATCTAGGTTAAATTGTTTCTAACTAGTAGTTTCGTGTAAAACAAAATAATTTTATAACATTAGTAAACATTGCACACACACTATCAAAATCAGTTTCTGTTTCACAACATTAATGAAGCTGAACACTGCGCTTTTATGTTTCCGTTGGAGAATTGTCGTTGGCCCGAATTCGCTTCTCGTGTGCAATATAATCCGCGCTACCATTCCGGAGTGGTTGTTGAATTTGTTTTTGCACATACATTAGACAAAATGTGTCGCCCCTGATTTCCACTGGCTGTTTGCAATGTTCAATTCCAATTATATTTTGCTGTTCGTGGTTTGTCTGTACATTTTCTCAAAATGAACTGCAGCCTTCGTTGTACATAATACTTCTTGATTTTTATTTTTTATTGCTACATTTCCCGGTGTTTTATAAGGTACTCGTACGTGCGATGCAATGTATTGCCTATATGTATGCACCAACACAATCTAGAAATTACTTTAAATTCTGATTTGGCCACGCCCGTTTCCCATGGCACGTGAAATAATTTTTCAAGCCTCCTATGTAATTTTTCTACCTTTATGCAAAAAATGATTTTTTTGAATTTATAGCCGGAGAATGTGCCCTGGTAAAATAGAATAAAATATACCAGTATTATCGAAGGCGATAAATCAGCTTACCGAATTATCTAAGATGCATGTCGAGCAAACAATTCCATAGGGAAATAAAAATATCATTAATACCGACTATTAAAAACAGAGTAGAATTTCTATTAGGTCATTAACGTTAAACTCTAAAACGTTTACCGTAAAATACCAATTTACGCATTTTCCCTTGTGTATTTCATCGGCACGCAGGAAAAGGGTGAAGAAGCGCAAAGAATGCGCCTTTTTTGTATGGAAATGGTATCAAAATACACCACGTATTTTCAAAATCTAGTAATCCGGGTTGACCAGTTCCACCACAACCAGATTTCATATCACCTGTGGCACGTTTCCGACACTCGCTACTGCAGTAACGTACCAGCGGCTTGTATCCCATGGAATTCGTTGTATCCCGAAAACACAGTAGCCTAGCTACAGAGCACTCCATCGCGCTTTCACACAAAAATTTTGGAGGAAGTTGGATTTTAAATATAGTTTTATGTGGAAGGCATGCGACGGCGCTTCGTTATTTGTTATCGGTACTTCATAGAGCATGTTTCCGTGTAGAAATTCCTCTCCCTCGAAAAACACTTGTCGATTGAAGAAAGTGTGTCACTTTGATGATTAAGAGAAAGGGCTTTCCGACAGATGCTAGAATTAAACTGGTGTGGATAGGATTACAATAAATTTATGAAAAAGTAGGACAATGATGCTGACTCACCCTCTGTACAAAGAAAGCCTGTGTGCGATAACGCTGTGAAAGTTTTCCAGATCAGACATAATCAAAAATTCAAAATGCTTGTGCTTTTATCGATCTGTTGCGAAAGCAGGAAGTGCCAATACCGACAAAACGCATTGATGTTCCAGTAACAAAAATTACAATAACACGGCTTTCTGATTATGAAAACTCCGAAAACAGTGATTTCGGAACGTTTTCTGAAAAGCGAACTTGTGGAGTCTGTTAAAGTGCAAAGCAACGGTCGTTAACTCTTTCAACTTTTCTGGTGGCTACGAACGCACATAACAGGAATTCTCTTTGGAGAAGTAAGAAGCTTTAAGACTGGACAGGAAGCACCACGCCCTGTTCTTTGAGTTTCACTCAGTTAATGAACGGAGATTGACCCACAATAATACACCGATAGCAGGAAAATAATCAGTACACGTACTAGACTGAATGATATCATTCTTTTTGTGAACTTGTTTTATTGATCAGCAAAAAACGAAATTGTTTTTTTTTGCGGGATGAATTTATGTATAAGCTTTCGGTGTTTTTTAAGATTAGGTATGCTTTTATGACCGCCAGAAACTCTGCAAATCAACGACACGTTGCATTTATTCCTTAGCAGCATCTATAGTATAGCCCGAATAGGCAACTAAACACGAGTAACAAAGGATTATTAAAAACAATTACAGCATGCATTAGTGTTTGCTTTCTGACGTTCAGGTACCAAATATGATTTGGCCAGTATTAATCATAATTTTAAAAGTATTAGATTGCTGCCATAAAGTGAATTATACGACACAACGAATATTCCGCCAAAAATTAAGTATAGGCCAACGGACCAAAAATTCCCGGGCAACTCGCACAAATCAAGCTCGCTTTTTATTAAATCAATTAAAACAGCAATTGTAATAAATAACCGTGATGATAAGGAAAAAATCAAGCGACCTTAGCAAAATGAGTGCCAAAATCCGAGCAATGTAACACCGCCTTGTATGGGCAGTTAACTTTGTATGTTGGAAAAGCGTCTTTACATTGCCATATCTCGCTAGCCGTCGAGTAATGATCGGCGTAGGGTTCTCCTTGCATCAGCAGTGCCAGATAGAAGCGGTGCGGCAGAACGTCGCGGATGGTGCGGTTATTCATCCAAGCCCGATGGTGGGCCGGTGTTGAGCTTGTTTCATGGCCGGGGTTGAGCTTTCGCCAACATTTACCGCGAACTAGCCTCTACTGCTTCCAATATGTTCATCCGTTACCAAGAAAATTGGCTTATGGCATTGTAAATTCAAAGCGATCCTATTAATATCACGTCCGTATTCGAACTGCCTTCTTTGAAGACATGTCCATAATTCCGTCAAGTGGGATGTCGGACACTACCAGCGATAAAAGCAAACTTAATTCCCGGATTTCGGTTTTCTGTTCACGTGCCCGTCACTGGGCATCCAAGACGCCAGCCGTATTTCAGAAAACATTTGTCGGCTCACTGAAAACGAATAAAAACTGCACAATTTAGCCGGGTTTTGAGTTCATAGGCATAAATGTTTTTTCGCTGTTTTCTATCGTTACAATGAGTAATCTACTTCTGCAACTGATCAGAAAACACTGAATTTGTAGTTTCTTACACAGTAGAAACACATCTGCAGAGGGAAACTGTAATGAAATTTGTGAAATCTGTTTAGTCGATTGCACTGTTCAGTATGACCTTTGCATGGTCAGACTGCCCTACATGGAACAGTTGGTCGCAGTACAGATATTAGCATTTCCTCCACACAGCGAATAAGGAAAAAACAAACGTTTTCCAGACAAGAAAGACCTTCATAGAAAATTGTTTATTTAATACCGATATTACCCTCCCTATGCGGGCGTGTTAATTATTAAAACTAATTTTTAATTAGTGTAAATCTGCGCTGGCGAATTATACGTATTTGACCATATGCGCCGATGGATGGCGAAGTCATCGCTGAACTTGCATAGAGTGAATAATACCACTTTTTCTGTGTACTTGTTTCGCTGATCAGCAAAAAAAAAAGATTTAATGTACAAGTTGTCGATTACTGCTTTTTAGCAGAAGTATGCATTAATGGCTGCTGTACTCTCTGCACAACAGCGACACTCGCATTTATTCCTTTACAGTAGTACAGGCACCTAAAGATTAAAGAATTAGAAATAAAAACATATATCAACATTTGCAAAACACATACAATGCGTGAAAGATTAGCTCAGACTTGAAAGAAAAAAAAAAGCGTGATAATTAGGGGTGCGTTCGAAAACTACTAGAGCCACCGTCGTAACCTTGTTGTTGCCAAGTCCTCCTATCTGGTAATCGGTTATCGGGTGCCAACGATACCCCCGTTACCAGATGGTTCCGTCTTTTCTAACATCCGGACAGGCGTTGCGCTGGCGGCACGGGATGTAGGGTCCATCAGGAATAGTCGCCTTTGGCTCCTTAGTGCACGGATCCTCTGCATAACACCCAGACTTTACTTGATTGCTTTCGCACTATAAATTGCCGTATACGACACCACCGATGTTCTGCTTTAAATTCGGAATTAAAAAAAGTTCAAGTGGTAGCGCATAAATCACAACTGTATTTTGTTATCATAATGTTGATTACTGTATTAACGGCATCGACCAAAACTCCGCGTATCTGTAAGTCTTTGGATTACGACGAAATTATTAAAAAACCTTAGCCTGTGACGAAAAAAATTGTGATTATGAATGTAATTCAGACTTAGGAGCAACTGGAATGAAAGCTAATTCTACATAGTAGGCCACCTCACAGAGAAAGGCAGTATCGGAGAGATGCGAGTACCTTGCCATATCTCGCCAGCCGTTGCGTAACGATCCGCGTAGGGTTCCGTTTGGTTCACAGGTGACAGATGGAAGCGGTACGGCAGGACGTCGCGGATTGTGCGTTTATTCATCCAGGCCCAGTGGTGGGCGAAGCAGCACTGCGACTGCACGAAGTCGCTGGTCTTGTATCCGGCCACGCAGTCATGACAGTGAGGATCGCCGTCCACGGGGCACCGCTTCTGCCCCGGCAGCAAAGTGTCATCATAGATGGACGGCGAGCCCTTGGAGGTTCTGTAAAGCCAACCACTTGGTTTGTGGTTGCTGCCGCCATTCGGCCAAGGTTGTTCGATGCGGACGTATGGTGTGAAACCGGGAGATTGATTTGCCGGGATGGTGTACTTGATGTCGTCGGCATTGACGGTTGAAAGCCAGAGGCTGCCGGTCATACACAGCAAGAAAACACGAAACATTGTACTTGGAATAAGGTAATATACCGATAAGCTTCCGTTAAAGCACACTGTTTGAGCTGCAACGGATTTCAGCGCTTTTTATATCCGATTTCATGGCTGGTCTTGTGCTTTCGCCAACATGTACCGCGAACTGGCCTCCACTGCTTCTGGCGCTCCTACATACTATGTTCATTCATTCCCAGAAATATATCTGATAGCACTGCAAAATTAAAGCGATTTTTCTCACACCCTGTCTGTGTCTGCACCGCTCTTTGAAGTACCTTCTTCGAAAACTTGTCCGTAATTCCGTGGATTCGTGAAGTGGGAATTTCGGACACTGTCAGTGATAAAAGCAGCCTGAATCGCACAATTCAGTCGCAGTTCATGCGCACGTCGTAGAAAGTCCGGCTGTATTGCAGAGAAATTCTGACCAGATACGTCGAGCACTCACATCTAGAGTGTAAATTCTAAGATTTTCAATATTTTATTGCTGACAGTTTCCTTTGCTCCACCACCCACTTAACAAACCATCAGCAAATCTATCGCCAAGTATTCAATGCTGGCACTTCCCTAGTCAGCATATTGTTAGCCTGCGAAGAAAAACACTTGAATTCAGTGTTATAAAAAATTCCTTGAATAATGTGTGATATATGGTGCCTGGGAATAGAAAGACCGGTGTTCGCTCGCTGTGCTGGCCCAATAACCTGGTATATAACGTGGTATATATATATACCTCACTGCATCTACCTACTTTAACAAAGCGTTACTACTACTACACCATTACGATAAACGTAAGAAGTTATTTATTGTAAAAAATGTTTGGCATTCTGCTGCTGTGTATAACTGGTTTGGCAGTGTCTATGACCGTCAAAGGCGACGACATCGAGTACACCATCCCGGCAGGACAACCGTCCGGCATCACACCATACGTCCTCATCCAAAACCTTGGCCGGCCGGCCTAAGCAACCGCGGCCACGTGGACGAGATTGGTGGGCATGGAGTTAACATGGAGCAGTATTTCGACAACCGTCTCGGACCCGGGGAAGTCAGGTGCCCGGTGGACGGGTATCCTCATTGTCGTGACTGCGTGGCGGGATACAACGACAGCGATTTCGTGCAATCGCAGTGCTGTTTCGCGCACCACTGGGCCTGGCAGCATAACCGCACCCTCCGCGATGTTCTTCCCTACCGCTTCCATTTGTCCCCCGTGAGCCAGACCGAACCCGTCGAGTATCGCGACCGGTACGCGACGGCTGGCGAAATATGGCACGGTACGCGCAACTGGTGCACTGTCTTTGCAGTGCGGTAATATGCACTTTTGTCACTGATAAGTAATTTATTTGTGCGGGTGTAAAGCAAAGTGTTTTTACTTGGTATGCATGGCATTTCCGGCGGAACATCCGTTTTGTCGCGGAATTTAAACTGCACTAGCAATTTGTGCTTACGGTTTGGGTGTTTATGCAGAGGATGTGTGCACGAAGGAGCCTATCGCGACACTTCCTGAAGGAGGCTACATCCCGTGCCGCCTGCGCAACGCTTGCCCGGACGTCAGGAACGAAACAGGAACCATATGGTAATTTCTGTTCGATGGCGCCCGATAATCGCAGACTACTACCGAGTAGTTGGGCAGACTTGGAGACGACGCCGTCATGGCTGTTGTCTCGTTTTAATAACTTTTGCTCTGAGCTTCGTAATGCTTTTTTCTTTCGTATCTTTTCTAACCTTTTTTTTCAATGTACTGTTTTGTTATCGCAAATAAATTTTGATCGTTATTGATGTATGAGATAGCAATAAAAAAAGCATCCGAGAAAGACGATGTGCATTCGTCAGCATTCTTACAGCATTCACCGTAAACTGGCCATCGGGTTCCATATCAGTACACAAGAAAGGCGAAAGGTATGGTATGTCGCACATTGGCGATGAAATTCTCGGATAACAACCGCACGTTTTCCGAACATTTTATCTGCGCTGGAAATTAGCTGAATTTGTAAATACATGTACTAAATACCTTGTCGGAGCACTTATCTACAGACATATGGCAGCGAAAAATCATGGTAAATCATGGAGTTTTGTTCCCTCGTGTACGTTCACAGCCGGCATCTTGGAGTACGACGAAGAGCGCATCGCTCTTACGAAATTCCGGAGTTAGACCAATAAGGTCATCGCTGACAGTGTTCAACAATACATCACCCACTTAAAACTTCTACATTATACGAACAAGAGTTATAATATTAATGATAATATATACTTATATATAGACATTTTCGGCGCAGACGCCGATATAGCATTCGGAAAACACTTCCAATTTACAGTGTTATTAAAGAATTTTCTGGATCATGTGAGGTAAAAAACTGTCTGGCCATGCTGGCCGTTTGCTTCGTACTCGTAGAAACGATTTACGATAGAAGAACTGCGGAAGAAAAAACATTCCCCGCATTTGCACGATCGATAGCGCACTTAAAGAAAAGCAATATCATTTCCAAATAGATGCGGTTGCGTGTTCTAAAAAAATTTTGGGCGTTTTGTTGCTGTGTGTAACAAGGTTCGGTCGTTTTCAGCAGTTAACGGCGACGATCCACCGTTTCGGAAGGTCAGCCGGTCGGCAATCTGCCATACGTTCGTATTGCAGAATCCACCGGAATTGAATAAACAACGTTGACCACCAATTCGAAAACTATTATTTAAACCCTTTGCCGTTTGGAATAGAAGTTACATTTGTTAAACTGCATTATTCCAGCAAATAAAACCTTAACATAATAGTAAGACCATCACCGGAAGATGCCTCTTGACAACTTCAGATTGTTCTACAAAACTGTCCGGCAAAAAAAAGACATTTTTGCCGATTACGAGCGCTGTTTTTCGAGTAAACATATCGTCGGTCAGCAGACGTCGTTAACAAGTTCTCTGCAAGCAAGATAGAGGTTAACAAATTGTTGGTGTGCCATCAGGCAAGGTAGCAAGATAGCAATTAAATAAAATTAATGATGTGCAACGCGTAGCGTATAATGCGTACTTTTAACTGACTTGTAATATTGTTATGCAGTTAGCTTCTGATCAATCTGCAGTCATACCATGCAATATGACTACGGCAGGGTTGGAAGAACTAAGAACATACGTCACGAAGTGCAACCCGAAACCGATCAACACTCGGAGATCTGATTGGAGACAACGGATCGTTTCACGACATAACGTTGCATAGCGTAGCAATCTGCCGCAATATCATCTCCGATCACAGCATTTTAATGTCACAGCGTTCCATTGCGACGAAAATTTAAACTTCTCGGGTGGTTTGTTGCAGCCCGCAGGATTTAGGAATACTTTCCGAAATTTATGAGAATCTGCATTGCGCCATCAGCGGAAGTCCTCTAGCATGTATTGCAGGTTTGAATTCACATCAGAGGTCCTCCGCTGTCGGCTATGTTCTGGGGTTTTCTGGAACTTATGGTGCACCTCGGCGGATTATGCAGTAACGAAAACCGTTCTGTAATAAATATGGATTACGGAAACTTTGTAATACGTATGTTCACCTGCTTTGTAATAAGTATGTTCACCTGCTGGTATTTATACGAGTATGTTTGCGCACTGCAAACTGCCCCAGAACACGAACATTATTGTGTCTGTTGCTGATAACGCAGCTAAGAAATTTATGCAATTCACCAACAAACGACCGTTTAAAGAGCGACTATTTTGATAGTGAAGTAGCGATGAGTCCATTCAGAGGCTATCATAGGCCGTAGATAACAAAAAGAAATACTAGTACCACAATGGATTTCCCAGCGGAAAGTAGACAACCAGTGTTTGGCCGCTTAACCTTTAACCATCCGCTGGGATTGAACTCTGCACGGACCGCTTTGTTCCATTCGTCGGCTCGCTAACAATTACAAATTGCACAATTCAGCCGGGTCATAAATCCTTAAGTCTAATTAATTCTGGCGCTGTTTGCTATCGCTGCACATGAATACTGTCTGTAACTGACAACATGGCATAGACGTTTATCAGCATTGGCTATAAACACTTGCAACGTTCGACAGTTTGTAATTGTTCTACACTTAATGGCGGCAGTGAATTAAGTAAACTGGATGTCGACTTGATAACATTATGCAGAAAAATATTTACAAAACTTTGCGCTACGAAGACCGCTAAAACAAAATCGAAACGGAACGTGTGCATGTACCACGGTTCCGTCGCATACTCCCTGTAAGTTTCAACATTCCACGCACTGTTGTTAAATCTGATAATAATTAAAATCGGATAAAACAACTACAAAGAGGTCGTAAAACCGGCATATGAAAACTTAGTTAAGAAGTTAAACAATAATGCCAATTGTAAGGAAAAACATTTTCCTAAGCATTTATCGTACTCTCGCGTCGGCGTAAGCCACAAGACAAGCTGAGCCGCATCAAGAACGCCCGGTTTTGTGAGCGACGAGCAGTAATTTCATATAAAACATTGTGCAACACCTCTTCGTGCATAAAATAAATCCACGAAATCCTGCACTGCTTTAAACTGCCAAGCGCTTCTTTGCATTGCTTCATGGCATTTTGTGATTAAATATCAGTTTTCTGTGCACTATTGTGAAAACAACAACGTCCGCTCGCGTACGGATATTAGCCAAGGAACGGTGTTGGGCCAGTCGCTATGGCAGCCTACGAGTATGGCAGCTAGCGACAGTCCCGCTTCCGGTGCACGGCTCAGTGGTGCACAATATCGCACACACTCACGCCTGCACGCACTCGCTCAGTCGACGCCGAATCACTGGCCTCGACTCCGCCTTGCCACACCTACGGCTTGAAGTCTTGGCCAATCAGCGTTCGCCATCGCTCGTGTTGGATCTGCCCAGTCCAGCATTAGGCTTTTGTATGTTATGGCTCGATCTGCCATTCTCTTTCATTCATTAGCGTATCATTCACTGGCCCATTAGCGTATCATTCACTGATGTGGCCAGTATCATGTCAGAATCTGACATGATACTGGCCACATCGAGCCTTCATGTGCTTTGTGTTTTGGTTCTTGCATTTATTGATTCCTCAATAAAGCCTTTGCTCACACTCGTGAGCCTTTGTTCGCCAGCTGTCACAACGGGTGGAATCAAGTTTCAGCAGTAAAAACATTTTCGTTATGATTCAACACTCTTTAAGGCATCTTGTAATTTTTACTACGGGTACTTTTCTCATACTGAAATGTTCTGCTGTTGGCAAACTCCCGAACCCCCTCTGGACCGCGAGCGTCAGTATCCCTGGGACCATCACTACAGTCCATACTGTAAAGACCATGCCAAATTATCACATAATCTAAATACGAAGTATCTGTCGCGAAACAGCGGCTTCGCCCGGAATGCGGTGGTGTCCCCATTGTACGCTGAAATTGCGCTGCTGATGCTGCACGCCGGTGTGGACGACAAAGCAAAACAGGAAATTGCCGAACTACTGGGCGTGCATCCGGTGACCCTCACGAAACGACTGCGTTTGGATTTATCCCATCTCAAGTGGAAAGAAGACGAGGACTGCGATCCTGGTCCTCCTGAAGGTGCGTGCATTTTATAACAGTACAGTAAAATCAGCGTGCATTGAACACCTGCGGTTCCAAATTTTTCGTTCAATGTAGACGCCTGTTCAATGTACAGAACAGCTGCCCCCGGGAGGCCGCCCCTGGGTGCAGTGGTTCTGTGCACTAAAACTGCTCTTGAGGGCGAACGGGCGCCGCCTAAAGGGGGATAGCCCCGTTAGTGAGCTTTTATACGCTATTTTCGCGCATAACAAATCAAAAATCGTGTGGTGTTAAAGTGGTAACGAAGCAAATGGCTTGTGAACTTTGGTCATTAAGCGCATTTTTTTGTATTTTTTCGCTCCCGAAACCAGATTCTGGCGCTTTGTTCATTTTGAAAAGGGCTAAACATTAGTAAATAATTAGATCCGTTCCTGCTAATTTGGTCAATGCTCACTTCAGAGAAGTGCTCAATATAAGCGGGGTCCCCCCTATGTTATAGTCTACGAGACGCGCCGGTTCCGTAATGACCGTTCAATGTACGCCAGTGTTCAATCTACGCGAGTGTTCAAAGTCACAGGTTTTACTGTACTAGCAGAACCATCGCAAATTTAGCGTCATAAAAAAGCTACAAATAAGTTCTGTAATTTGAGTAGTCTCGTGAATATGGTCGCCTGCTTTCTAAGCTTTGTACTTTTTCAGGTTCTTAATTAAGGGATACAATATTTTATTAAAATTGTAGGGAAAGATGAAAATTACCGTCTGTATTTGGCAAGTTCTCTTCTGTTGTCGCAATGCAGTCCTTCGGACCAACAGTGTACCAAAGCCTTCAATAAAATAACAATCAGCTCGGATATTTCACCGCTAAAACTCAGCGACAATCTACGGAAAGTGAATGAATTTTTTCGAGAACGCGCAATGAGCCATGTATGCGACATACAGTTGCCGCCTGATTCAACGCGAAATCCGACACTCATCAGCAACCTGCACTTGCGCGCCAACTGGGCGCGTCCCTACTTCCGTGAACACCGCACGTTAACGATGGAGTTTATCACGGCTGACGGTCGCCGTTTGTAAGTCGACACAATGCATGGAATACTCAAGGTCCCCTGCTGGGTCCCCGAAGGAATGGGCGGGGCTAGGTCCCTGGAAATACCATTTGAAGACTATCACTGGAAAGCGATGTTCATAATGCCGGGAGCCGCGCGGAAGACGTGGCGCGGTGAGACGAAACCGCTGACCATGAGCGAACTGATTGTTCTTCTGACACCACGGAGACTGGAGAGGCCATTCGGCAAATGCGCTTTTACAAAGTAAACGAAGCTACGGTACAGATACCAAATTCCGTGTGGAGCGGAATGTGGAACTGCAGGAGATACTGTGCGAACTGGGTTTGCGAAGTCCGCTGATTTGCGGCACGGATCATTCGGGTTCGCGCATAACGGCATTATACAGCACGTTAGTTCCGGTATGGAACTTGCTTAGACTCGGAGTATAGGTTCTTGCTTAACGTCTTATGTAACAAAGGATACCTGTGACACCAGTGTTTGAGTAAAAACCTGTTTAGTGCTTAAGTAACTCAAAACCGGTTCTTGCAATCAGTGTTTCGATTCAAGAAATGTATAAATAAGTTTGGCACGACTTATATACATTATGTTTAGACGTACACGTGGTCTAATAACGCTATCAAAACCGTCTGCTCAACTATACACAAACCAAAAACACATCATCGAGATCAAGCTGCTTCTCAACAGTTCCCAACACACAAGCAGCATAACCGCGCTGAATTTCTATACTAAAACGCTGATTCAAGAAACCTGTTTTGGAATTACTGCGTTAAGAAACTTAGAGGCCAGATTCCAAGAAAAAGAAAATGACGCTATAGAATTTTCTATGATCGCAATTGATTTCTACAATCGCAATTGCTTTCGCAATCATAATTTCCGTCGAAAATTTTAAATTTAATTTGTTTTGTCTAGGCGTAGATGAGCGTGGAGTCGGCAATGCCCTACCCGTCAAGCCTGAACGAGTGTTTCTAGAAACCATGGAACTCTGCTCGCCCTACTACGGAGATTTTGTTGTCAATCGGCCATTCATCTTCCTGGTTTATCAGCGCCTTAGCGGCCACATCGCCTACATGGGACATGTTGCTGATCCGACGGCCAGTTAGTTTAAAAGGCCTTCTCCAATAAAAACAAATTTCGGATTAAACAATGGTTATTTTAAAGCTGAAATAAACAGTGAAAATCTGCTTCGGTGTGGAAACAATGCGCTTTTACATGCGAAATTTGAAGCAAGTCGACTTGTAACGCTATTTTTGGTGCACGTTAATTTATTTGAACTTTCTGGAGTTCTATTTCACCAATGACTCACCCAAACCGGAAGCCGCGCGCGCCGCCCAAACGTTGTAGCGTAGTCAGTCGCTCAGTTTTTATACTACTAAAATAAGCAGATGCAGGGAAATAGATAGTTTTTATACTACCAAAAGAGAACGCAAAAAAGTAGAGTGCAACGTAAACTAAAGCGCCTTCTACAGTCTAATAAAACGGGCGTAGTCAAGAGCGCGCTTTTTACGGGTGTTAATTGCGTAAACAAAACGCCGACGGCACCAGCACCGGTTGAATGGGGACGTCTTTTTGATTTTTTTTTAAAAGTAGTTTTCACGGTAATATTTTTCTCAATATCTAAATCTGTAAATCAATATTATTCGACTATCATAATTTTTGAAATTTCGCTATAATCTAATACAGTTATTGTTGCTTTTCGACTGCCATAATTTCTGCTTTTGCTGTACATTTTGAAATTTTTCTGTAGATTCGGTGATTGTTTACGCATCATCGTTGACTGTTATTTATGTATATACGATGTGATATATTTATTTAAGTATATATTTATTTATGTTGACTGTTATTTTTTCTCTATCGCAGTGCCTTGGCGACACTCAGTAATTATAATCCCCCTAAATTAAGGTGAAAAATTGTACGATCCTAATGATTTTCTTAAATCACCTGATAATTTTTTTCTGGGGCCGACTGGCATTGCTGCCCAATTCATCGGTCGCATTCTACTGCAATTTACTGCATAATGGTTAATCAGTTATGGCCGCAAATAGCCTCGCAGAGAAGCAGCACGAGATAAAGAAAAATCTGCGCTCTTTTTGTGCTGTAAATGGTAATCAATGTGTTTTACTCAATCTCCTGCGTTTTATCTTATACACTGGATACCGAAAAATGTATTGTGCAGCGACTGTTCTGCAACTTATTGCGCAATATAATGTAATCGGCAGTTTCTAAACTTGAAAATTTTTCGATTATTTCATGAATTTTTGTAAAAAGATGGTTGCGTTCTCGCGATGTAAAAAATTTGATTTGAGTTTACAGGCGGTAAAAAATTGTGCAGCTGTGGCTATTCTGTCTGCGGTAGTGGCTGCCGTTGCGGAACCGCCTCTGCCAACCGCTAACACCAAATCCGGTGACGCCTTCTGCAGTCACAGCGGGGAGAGCGGCCTCCTGGGGTCAGTCTGGTGTCTTCATCGTCTATCTATTAATGTTTGAAATTCTTAGTTAACAACAAATAAATTTTTTTTTCATATTGTTACATAAATCGTAGGAAATAAAGGCTAATGTGAATATTTGTACGAGTAGCGATTTTTGTTCGGTTATTTTTCAAGCCTGCCGAATGCGAGTGCGATGTTCGAAGTGTTATAAAATTACTGTGACCATAAATTCTCCTTTATCTTATCTGATAGTTTCACGTTTAAATATTCAGGCAGGGTTGGTGCTCCATGAAATTCTTATCCACTACAGCAAGTTTTAACACTCTCTCTTTATTTACTGGGGACTTTCTCATGGCTATTACAACGCGATATTGAAGTTGGAACCGTGTGTTATTTGAACAAGGCTCTCCTTGTTGTAACCTCAACAGAAGAATCCTATTCAAATATCCTCAAAGCATGCATCGTAATTTGGTAAATACAGATTATCGCAGTAGCTGTGTTGTTCAAGCAGAAGAGGCTTGTTCAAATATACTTCACGCATCCATCGTAGATTAGTAACTCAGAATTCCGAAATATTATAAACACGCAAAGGACTTATGTGAGTTCTTTCCCCGTTTACATCAAAGACCGGCAAGCTCATCCCGACAACTGCAGTAAGAAAGTTTGGGTTATTGTTGAGCCGGCCCGGCTCTTTCGGGAGGGCCGCGCCGGGCCGTGGCCCGCAATGGACGTATAATATGGAACAAGGCATAGCAAAAAGTAAATTTCATTTTGATTTACCGGAAATCAGAACTTTTCGACTAGTTTTTCTTATTTCTCGCAGCATTTAACGTTTCCGAATTGAATATCCGCTTATTTGTTTGTTGACGTGACTGACGTGCTCTGTTTATCGGCTTGCCTAACGACATTCGGGAACGGAACAAATAACAATACTGTGCTGCAAGACGGCCCAAGCCGCGGCACAGGGACATGTCGGGCTAGTCCGGGTCCACCCAGCACCAGTTTGGCCAATTTAAAGTATTTGCGATTTTTAGAAAGGGCCAATACTTCGAGAAATTGCTTATTCCGGCTCATTTTTAAGTTCCAATAATATTACTTAGTATACATTGCGACTCCCTTCTAGTTACAAATTCAGTATGCAGAACCGCCCTTGTTGGCGATAGCCAGTTTATTGGCTGCACTCGTTACAACTGCTTTTCGAATTTTTCTATTGGTCGGCGTAGCATCGTGTACGTATCCGTTCATACGGCACGTATAATATGTTCATACGGCATTCTCAGCTAGCCGGGATTAGCGATATATATTCGAACAAAAAATTAATGGGGGTCGGTTTTACAGTGCTATTTTTCGAAGTAGTTGTGGTACGAGTTTTGGTACCGGCTAACTCGCATTGAAGTTCTCGTTGAAGGAGAACAGATACAACACGATACGTGCAAGTCATTGCAGCGACATTATCTTAAGGTACTATGGAATAATTCCAATCCCCTCTTTTTATGCTGTTAACACAGATGTGACTTCTGATGCAACCAACCTGGCAAAGTGCTGCTAAGTGATGCAGTTGCGAACACTTTCACAATGATCGAGGCGTTCAACTTGTCCGCCATACCGAAATGTGGAAAGGCATAGCATTCCAGTGCCCCGATAACACCGAGATTTTACTGTTGTTCTCTATCGGCCGGCATACAGATTCGGATTTTAGCGAATAGCAAGTTGATGGAGTTTTCTTACTACTGAACCAGCCCAGGAATAGAATATCTGGCATAAAAAATATATTTATCGCAACTTAGCAGCCAGAAAATTTCTACTGGCTCTAAAGAAACGGAGTAAGCTGGGATTTCGGGATGGCCAAAGATCTTTTGCCAATCCAAAATCTGAAGCTTCTCCGCTTCCTGCTGGTCAGTCGGTGTACATAATGGAAGACTTCAAATATTATTCCGAAGACACTTTTGCCATCCAGTTTTCTATGGACGCCTCTAACCCCACGATCATGCCCACGCAGTCGCAATTTTCTCACGAAGAAATTACTTGTCGGCGCATTGCAAAGTGCAGGATCCCTTGCCAGTAAGCTTGATGGCTCCGGAACCCCTCAACCATGACCGTAGTACACTCTACAACCGTCGATATGCTTGAAGAATGTAGGTAACCTTTATTCATGTTTACATCGCGACGTAACAGTTATGACTCGTATCAAAACGGCCGGTATTGCACAATCAAGAATTAAGAAAACAACCAAAACCACTATTATCAACAACTATGGAGTGGTTGAAGTATATACTCTCCAAACATCGCTATGCTTGGGGAATAAATCCCTGCACACAGTTGCGGGATTCAGTGTAGCGTTGTGGGAAATTTAAGCACTTAGGACTCATTCGTGCGCCCCCGAGTTCCCTCGAGGCGTTTTCTATGAGGAATCGCGTAATCTCTTGAACGACGAATGCCGACTGGAGACACAAAAGTTAAGCTCGAAAAATGTGTGAAGGCGTCGTCATTACACAGTGTACATAGGGTTGGTGGAAATAATTACGGTGTTACTCTGTAGCTTTTATTAAGAATATTGTTGGACATTTGCGCTAATTACCAAGTGTCCCGCTGCCTTGCGTCGCCGTCAAATTATTGCAAGCTATGCAGCGCAGCCGTTTATTTAATAAAGACCAGGTAACGCATGGAAACAAGGAGAGTGTTTTCGGATGATGTAGGCCCATAAAGGAATAAATAAATTCATTGTGCACGGGATGATTATTTAAAATTTACATCACAAAAGAAAACGAAACTCCTCTGAATCATTAATTTTAAATCAGTTTCGTATAAAAAAAGCATCTTATTACGATGCATTCGACTGAATTTATATATACTGCAGTATATACATATGTGATGATTTAATTATTTTTTTCCTGTTCGTGCGCTCCGTATTGGTTGCTGTACAGGATCGCGCTTCTTCCTGGTGATTACCGCTTTCTTCACGCCAATGCTCACGTTTTCCTACGGATTCTAGTCATTTTTGTGGGATACGTTATTGAGGACAATGGTCATGTATGCAATAAGTGGACTGAGATGTGGAATAACATCACTTATACAGAAATTCACCTGGAAAAATATTTAGCATGATGCTACCGAAACTAAAAATAAAATAAGATATACCAACAGTATCGTAGCCGATACATCAACTTCCTGAAATATCTAAGATGCACGACGAGCAAACAATCATATAGGAAAACAAAAATGCCGATAATGCAGACCATTAAAAACAGATTAGAACATGGATTCGGTAATTAACGTTAAACTCCAAACAAATTTTATCGTAAGATATTAAATACTGACACACTTGCTCTTCTGTATTTCATCGGCACGCAGGTACAGTAGCGCAAAGAATGCACCTTGTTCGTGTGGACATTGTAGCAAAATGCACAATGTATTGACAAAATCAATTAACATCTGGACCGACCCGTTCCACCTCTACCGGATTTCTTGTAACATTGTCTTTTATTTAATTTAGTCCATATCCCCCGCATCAGTTGCACACATGATTTCGGATGCGTAAAGCTGTACCATGCCTGGTATCAGATGATACAAAGAAAATAAAGTTAAACTCAGAAGAAACCTGGTTTTGGTTAAAACAATTTAGGTGTTGTGGTACACTGTCGTAATTTCATTGATAGTCGTTAGATTTAGTCCGTCCAACTCCGCGACGATCCACGTGTTACCGTAACGATTGGGGGCATAATATCTTGCCCACAGATTTTTACCGCGATACAGTTCGACAACCGAGTGGGACCGGGCCAAACGCCAGTTTTGGACTCCCTTGCGGTGATACCACACGTACACGCTGATACGGTACGTGCCAGGCAGCTGCTTCTTGATGACGGTGCTATCGGCGTTTGCTCCTGCATAGTCGTTGTGAATAAGTTTATCAGCGCTCAGTCTCGTTCCCTGACATTCAACGCGTGTGCGCTGTTGGCTGTCTTGCAGTGGTCCTTCGACCACCACCAACTCCATATCGTAGCCTTTAACATTAAAGAGAATTATCCGAATGTCATCGTAAGACACGTCAGGCATAAATGAATGCACGGTGCTTGAGCCGCCTTTTCTCCAAATGACGACTGGGAAAGATTTTGGCATATATCCTGTCGCGTTGACAGTCGCCGTGTAGTATCCCGATGGTAGTCCTTGACGCCAGTACCCAATGGCATTCGTTGTGGTTGTCGCGAGAATCGGCCCCGAAATATTGTTCAGGCCGTAACGGAAGTTAACAGTTACCGAAGGGGCATACGACATATCATCGTCATGGTTGCCAAATCTCATATATTTCAGATTTCCGTCGGCTGTCCCATTTCCGGCCAAGGTTTCACTGATCCACAACAACGGTTCCATTGTGACCTTGCCGTCCAGCGGAAGATCGGAATAAAAATCTCTTAGAAGGATCGGATTGAAACCAGGCATCTCGAATGTTATGGTGTGGCTGCTCCTCAGTGGTAAGGACAAAGTAAATTCTCCGAAAGCATTCGTTGTTGCTGTTTGATTGTCAAGCAGCAGATTGCCTGCATCTCTCAGAGTGGCGTAGACCGTTGTGTTATTGATTGAATCCCAAGTCAGAGCGTTCCGGGAAAGCCAGACGGCGGTTATTCTTCGCCCTGCAAACTCTCACTTGGTTTTTGCTCGCAAACCAGTTCGGAATCAACACAGCACCCTGGATTAAAGCGCTTTCCGAGGCACGCTGACAATTAGATGACCAGTATCTTTTACACTGTTTCTAGAACAATTATATTTTATGAAATCAAAGAAAAATAATTTTGTAAATATATTTCTTTAGAAAAAATTCAGTAAAATTCATTTTATTTTCATTAAAATTCATTTTATTTTCGTCCCACCGATCCCACGAATCCCATCACTTCACGTTCACATTCCCATCACATCCTACTTCAAAAATCAGGGTGGGATGACAACCCTAAGTACATCCACGGAAACTTTCGCTGTCGCGCTCTCCTAGACACCTTTTTGCATTGCTTGATGACATCCTGTAGCCAAAGGATTTGTATATGTGTACAAGAAATCAGTCTGCACACGCAACATTAGGTCGGAAAGCTATAAGGCAATCAAAATTCCAACAAGTTAAAATGCTTTGTGGTGTACCAAAAGTCTCATCATAAACCAATCTTCAAATTTTGAAAGTAACGCACATACACATGAAGATGGTTTTTATATCGAACCAGATCGAGTTGCACGATTTTGTTTTCAAATTTTAAAGTTATAGAAACTCTGGTTCGATGTAAAAAACATATTTGCTCTAATGTGCAGTTCCCTGCAAAATTTGGAAAAGATCGGTATAAAATGAGACTTTTGGTGCACCAGAACGAATTTCAACTTCTTAGTTCTTGGGATTTCGATTCACCAATAACTTTCAAACCGGAAGCAGCGCCCGTAAACGGATTTCGTGCTTACGTATACAGATCCTTTGCCTACAAAATATCATAAAGCAACGCCAAAAGTTGCAGTGCGTGACAGTGAAAGTCACCTTTGTTGAGCACGAATTGATATTTCTTGGTATGCATGTACCAGACCAAATCTCGTAAAACAAGCGATCAGGAGAATGCGTCTGTGCATGTACTCATCTAACTTTAATTCATCACATTTATCGAATATCGAAGGTATGACGTATTATATTTATTTACCTTTTGCACCGATCACTGCGAAAAACAACACAAGCAAGGACGTTAATGTAGAAGGCGACATTTTGTGAAAAAAATATCAAAATTGCATTTCAACCCTCAGTTAAATTTCGCCTTAGTTGATTTGCTGTATTTCGCGCTGCAACGGCGCATGTTTTATAAGCCAATGGAATTTACTTTGATATTTATCTCAGTTTGCAAACACGCTATCAAAGTTGACGCCAGTTCGATCCAGCAATTAAACTTGAGCATATCGTACATCTATCATATGTATCACGGAAGCCCCGCGTGCTATGCATGGGAAAAAAGCGGAAAATCGGCTAATCTGTCCCGGTTTCAAAAATTTATTAATGCTTCAGTAAACAGTGTACACAAAAAGTAAAAATTCGTAAAATATGTACATTAAAATAAATAAAATAAAATGAAATAAAATAAAAATATACAGTCTGTACATTAACTTTATTAATGCATTAATGAACAGTTTGTACAAGAACACATTCATGATCCAGTGCGTTTAAATTGTCATAATCAGGTTGGAACAGAGAAGCGTTTATCTACGAGTTCGTTAACGAAGCTTCTTTGTCTCATAATTATTCGTTGTGCGGACCACATTATATGTTGTACACAATATTTACAGTTGTTGTACCGGTGTTCGTTATACAGAGTACATGTTATTAATTTTGTAACAACCTGTAATTGACACAACAGATAATCTGAAAATCTTGCTGCATTCTACAACGAAATTTAAACTCTGTAAGAAACTACTGGTGAAAAATTATGTGCAAAGTCCAAAGTTCCACCGCATGCCGAAGCTGTTGCTGTCTAATTATTAATTTCCGGCAGATACACTTTCTGTAGAATCTTAAACCAGATTTGAAAACATCACATGGTAGCTTTCTTGAAGTGACCTAGTAGTGCTTGTGTCCCTGTATTCCGTGCCAATGCCCTGAAATGAACCAATATTTAATTGTTAAGTCCAGGTTTGTTGTTGAGAAATATCGGCGTATAGATACACAACGGGGAAATAAGGAGAAGGCTTTGGTTTCACCGGTACATTAATCAGAATTCTCCACAGACAAATCACATGTCGATTTCTCCACAAAATCTCCAGTAATTTCAACAAAGAGACAACAAAAATGATATTCCCGGAATTTTTCCGAAAATAAAAAGCGAATTTTGCAACCAAAAATAATCAGAGATTCCGGAAAAATTATTTACCAATTAATAAGTGATATCTCCAGTAGTCCACAATAAAGAGCAATATTTCGATTTTCATAAGCTGGATCAAAAACTATTCAAAATTAAATAGGCGCAATTTCTGAACATTTTTGAAAGTCCTGATAAATTCAAAAATTATTGGGCGATTTCGGGCTGGTACACTCAGGAAATTCCTAATAAATTCCAAAATAAACTGGACACAATTCATTATAATTCACGTAGTTCCTAATAAATGCAGAGAATGTCAAAGTTAGTACATTTGTGGATTACTGGTTCCATGCATATAGAACCACCATAGAACTATTATGGAAGCACGCACATAACCATCAGCCGGCATGCTCCCTTACTTACCCCTTCTGATCTGACGCCCCATGAACCACCATAGAACCAGATGAAACCACGCACATAGTCACTAACCGGCATAGAGTCCACTGCCCTGCTCTTCTGAAACCCATAGAACCATATAGAGACGCCATAGATCTTTGCATTGCACCGCCAAGAATCAGAATCGCCATTAGAGACTACAGCTGTACTACCACCACTGCGAATCGTTCCATGTACATGGTTCCACTGTGGCTCTATGGTGGTTTTATGGAGGTTCTCATGTGGTTCTATGGGCGTCAGAAAAGAAGGGGCAGTATTATAGCATGCCGGCAGGTTATGCACGTGGTTCCATGGTGGTTCTATGGCTGTTCTATGGAGGTTCTACGAGGTTCTACGCGTTCAGGACTTAGTGAGGTGCTCGGCTCCTAGTCTAATAATTTAATCCCCATAGAAAGCACTTAGTGTCCTAACTTCTAGTCTTGTACATTCTATGAAGCAATCAAACATAATCAGTGCGCATGCAACACCATCAAGAAAATTAAGCAATCGTCAGCCGGTCAGTGTTTGCTGTGTACATCACTTATCGTAGTCGTCACAACACTTATCGTAGCCGTAGCCATCTGGTGCTTAACCGTTAAAATTTCTTGATGCTATTTTACAGTTGTTCAGCAGTGGTCCATTGGGCGGCGCGCACAGGGAATGAAAGTTCGATATAGACCCGATTTGCAGATGCAAGTGGACTGGCAATTATAACCGCATAACGCCGATGGGTTAGGGTTGGTGCATGATTTCTCATACTCACGACAGCCAGAAGTCATTAATGGGTCGGAACACAAAAATCTTTTTAGGGCGTTGGTATCCAAGGAACTGCAAAAAATGCCAACCACAGATGATCCGTCAACCGTGGATGGCTGCAGTGTGCAACAACCAAACCAACACTGCCACGCTTCAACCGTCCACGGTTGAAGGTTACGAATGTTGATTAAGGTTACCATCCACGGTTGACGGTTAAGTTTAACGGCCAACGCAGTTGGGTTTCAGCTCTTTGTTTCGCGGTAGCTGCGCTTTATCTCAAACTGCCTCGTATCCAAGCAAACACACGCCTGCGCAGTTCAGCATGTGCTGTGTCTGTCTCTGCTGCATTACAGCTTTCACACGGTTGCCTTAATTTCCCGTCGCCGTCTTTGGTAAGCGTGTACCCAAAATCCGTTGCACCTTTTCTTAGCCACATTGTACAAGCCTGTCCGGTAATTTCTGTCGTAAATATACAGCTAGCGCGAAATTTGAGCTTAAAACGATGGCCACTTCACTACGTTTGGCGTAACACGTAAATTAATGTATTTCGCTGAATGAAACAGGAGAAATTACCGGACAGGCTTGTATGTCGCTCAAACTTCCGACTATATATAGTTATATAGGCAGTAAGTGGTAGTTGACATATGAGATGATAACTTGATAATGATTTATCCGACAAAACATAAATTTTGGCAGACTTTTTAAATTGTGTTTACACGACATAAACGACTGTGTGTGAGCAAAATGTCTCACATTAGCAGGTTACCCGACTAAGTTCTGAGAACGTCATTGCACTAAGCCGTGCTTTATCGGGAAAACGCAAGCCGCTAGAATCCTGAAGAGGGCTTACCGACTTTCCCTTGGGTTCTTGTCGGTGGCAATCTCGTTTCGAGCGCTGGCTGTGCCGTGCGCAGATTCGACGGTGTGGATACCAGACTGCGCTGCGCTGCAACGGAGCAGCAGCGTGTTGGCGGCCCACAGCTTGATGATAGCAGCGGTTGACTCCATCGTACACAATTGAACTCTGAGACGATGGGAGAAGAGTGGACAGCAGAGTGCTGTTCCCAGTAAATGTGGTGTAAGTTAGCAGCACTGGTACTTTGCATTTCCTTATATACTAGCTTTTTTTGTCACCTTAATTTTGCTGATGAATGCAGCTTAAGCGCTGCTGCCAATCAGTTGGTCAGTGCCACCAATTAATATTAATAAGACATGCATCTGACGCCACCAGGCACCACGCTTATTATGCTAGCCCATGCATACACTTTGTACGATTGGCAAGTTTCTGTTTATCAAAAACATCGATACAAGCAAAGCATGAGCGCCCCAAGGAAAACGTCTGCTCCATGAAATAAGTGAGAAGTGAAGGGAATTAAGCAGACGTTGCCACTAAATAAATGCAAGACACCGATGCATGCGATGACAACCCAGCCTGCAATTATTATTGTGTGATTGCCGGCATGCTGAGCATAATTACAACGTTGTGTATCCGTTTCACGAATAGATGCGATGCGCGGTATAATAAGCAATATTTACTATTGACAGTACGACACTGACGGGCTAAATGGTCCCAGCAGATAAAATGGGTTCGGCCTATTGTTGTGGTTACTAAATACTCTTTAAAACTGTTTAACGGCAGTAACCTTGGTAAGTCCCGCATTTCCGCTAACAATAAAAGTCTGATATAAAGTAAGATTTTGTTCAGATTAGTTTAGTTAATTCACGGAGCAGACAAACCCTTGAGGCACCCACAAGTCTGGTCGTTATGTAAGAATACACAAGCATTCAAAAACACGAAAAAAATCAGGAGCACTTCAATACTGAAATGATTACAAAATGTTTCTTGTTTTTGGGAATTACAGAATGATAATCTTTCACAGAACCACAGTAAAGCAAATAAATTTGCTGCCGCATTAGTAAAAGTTAAGCAAATACTAGGCTTTAAGCTGTATAAGTAAAAGTCTCTTGCTAAATCACTTACTAATTATCTAACCAGTTTCATCGGATACTAGTAATTACAGCACAGCCTTGCCATATTGTATCCTTGTCGCATTACCTTGCAATTAGTCTAGGCATATAAAAGCAGTCTTTTAACCATTCGTCAGCCGCCGCCGTACGTAGTAAATTGCTCATGTGCGCAGTAATAGAACGCCACCCTTAATGGTAACATATACACTATCGTGATCACAGAATATAGATACCTATACTCTCTACATCCATTTCGTTCTGTACAGAAAATTCATCGGTACTTAAGGTGTTCTGTTGCGCTTTAAAACCAGCGCAGTGCGACGCAAGTTTTCCCGGGATGTAGACGCGACGACAAGCACCAATACGCAAAAAGCATGCAACTGAGCGCGAGAGCCGTGAATTGGTATCACATTTATTTGGTAGAACTTTATTTAAGGGGATCCCTATGAGATGAAAGTGGGTCTGGGAAAACATGAATAAGTTTAAAACAGCTGAAAAAAAAACACTGTTGCCATTGTTCTGACTGCATGCGCAAAAGGTTTGGCCACACAATGGTGTGCTGCGATCTTGTCTGCGCTCTCTCTAGACAGAGCTATTCAAGAAACAAAGAAAAAACTTTGGAATCAAAAGTTGAATGAGAAAGTTTTCTCGAATTAGATGCAATACACATCATTGGATGTGTTTTAGCCTAAAAAGCTTATATTTTCCAACATGCTAATAAAAAATGTTGTCAACTTACAAAAAAATTGAGAAAAACACTTTTTGAAAAGTGTTTTTTTTGAGTTTATTCAAACATGCTTTGTTGGACTACAGCGGAGTGTCGG